CATTCCTTTAGTTCACCGAGAAACTCCTAAGTGCCCGAGGTGCATATCATGCACTCTAAGTATGTTTTGACGCACTCTAAACATGTTTGGATGCACTGTAAGTACGTTTCGATGCACTCTAAACGTGTTTTGATGAACTCTAAACATCTTTTGTTGCACTGATACACACCTCGGTCATTTAAGAATTTCTCAGTGAACTTTGGGTAAGAGAAGGGACTTTGTTTTGGGATTTTTTTTTTTTTGAGGGATGATGACTCAAACCCGAGGTTCTGGTCCTAGGACACTCACTCTAAGGTTTTTAGGGTTGAAAATTACAGAAGAAAAACAGGAGAGGACAGATAGATTGTTGGAGACCATGAGAGCCTTGGAAAAGAAGACTTGAAGATGAAGGCCCAAATGCCTAATTTGGAAGTAGAGGCCCAAACCTCTAGTATAGGAGAATTTGACATAGGCCTAAGCTTGGAGAAGGAAGCCCAGCATGCTATCTTCGATGTGGGCTTAGAATTGAGCCCAAGAGCAGCCCAAGTCGGAGAGCAATCAATCAAGGAACGAATCCAGCCCCTAAATCTCCATTCTGACCGTTGGAGACACAAGGAAACTGTTTAGTATATTTAGTTGCCTTATTTGTAATTATACATGTATTCTTGCCTTTGTTGTAGTGTACACTTAGCTGTATAAATGTGTGTTGTACATGTAAACTTAAAAATCAAGGGAAATAAGAGAATTCTTTTGCAGAATCTCCCCCTACAAACCCTAGTTCGTCCAACTTCTCATCTTGTCCGAAATTCATCCATTCTCAACACCTAAAGTGTTCTTGTTGACTGCCCAACCACAAACACCTTTAAACTCTGAAAATCTTTATAGATTTCTCGGACACACCAAGAATGGGGCTCGGACACACCAAGCAAATTGTTTCTCTGACAAACCAAGATCAATGGACGAATTTACTCAAAGCTTTATTCGAATTCTGCTCCTAAACAAAGGAGAACGTCTCTTCTTATAGGGAGAAGAGGAATTATTACAAAATGGAAAGAAACTTTTGCAATAACAAAGAAATGGAAAGCGTGAAACATGAAATCTAATAAGGAAAAGGAAGGTGCAACCTTGTGTCTTGCTGAGTCACCAACGGTCAAGAGATGTTTTTGGCAAGAGAATTATCCGAACTTCCATGTCATAGGCTAGCTCAAGATCTTCCCTTAAAGGTGGTTGATGATTAGGCTCGAATTTGGCTTCTTTCCTTCTTTGTAGGTCCGATTTGATGAGGTGGCCTTCAGGTGGATATTTTCCTATTTTCAAAGCCTCTAATTGGTGTGGAGACTTGTCGTGATAGGTGTTGGTTGTAATGCTCTAGGATAATCCGTAGTATGACATTTTGACTATGTATTGATTCATTGATTTATGAATGCTCTAGGATAATCCGTTATATGATTGGCATGTTTGTTATATTACGGTATCCTTGAATCATTGTAGAATGATTCTAAACACCCTGGTCAGTTATCATTGTGGGAACAATGATGAATTAAGACTAGCATGAGGTGTGATCGATGCATTGGATGCATATCACAATCATGGGTACTCGTTGTGAACGAGTGACTGGTTGACCCGCATGAGATTGTCACATGGACAGAGTCATGACTTGAATCTCATACAGCGGTTCGTTCTTCGATCCTCATACCTGAGATGTCTAGAGTATCTGATATGAGGAGTGGCGTGTCTTGACTGCGTCAAACGTCGTCTTTAACCGGATGATTATAACGGCGTTGATCAGATACGTTCACGAATCATATGGAGATAGTAGACATGCAATATGGGACTTGTCACCTCCTTAACAGGAGAGATATCGCTGGGCCCTCTCGTGGAAGTCGGACTATGAAAATGCGTGGCCACAGTCGATTTGCCAAGACGAGAAAGCGGTTGAACTTGAAGGGTGGCTCACACCATGCCCTTGTTCAACATATGATATCGTGAGACAAAGGATAAGAACTCGAGCTGTTATTACCTTGGTTAGATCACCTCTAACTCAATTCAACGTGGGTGGTCATGACGTGGGTGAGACTAACCATGACTTGTAGATCGGAAATAGTTCTCGAGGTTGCTGCCACTGCGAATGGGCCTACAGGGTCACACACCATTAGGAATGGACTTACATGTGAAGTATCGGAATGGGACACTTGGATTTGGTCGAACAAATGGTTTTCGGATCAAATCAGAGTGTCGGAACAGTTTCAGCCTTTTGACTCGGACCGAGTCAGTATTTGACTCGGACCGAGTCAGTTCCATGCGAGTCGAAGCCTAGAAAGTGTTTTGGGCTTGGCTGATGTTTTGACTCGGACAGAGTCAAGTTTTGACTCGTACCGAGTCAACACTTGGTGATGTGCTTGGGCTGATTCGTTCTGACTCGACCGAGTCAGAGTTCTGACTCGGACCGAGTCAATACTCAGAAAAAGTCACTTTCCAAAAGAGATTAGGGTTCCTATCTTATAAGAAGGGTATTGGACGCCGTTCTCAACCTAAGACAGACGAAAAGAACCCTAAAACAGAGCAAAAACTCAGAAGAAATCGTTTCTTTCATAGTTCTAGCTCCCGGGATTAGATCTCACTTCAAATACTTCACAGATCCTAGCAGATCAGTTCCGAAAGCATTTGGAATCCTTCCCGTCGGTGTGGATACGTGTAGAGGGACTGCAACTTCAGTCCTAGATGATTAAACATGCCCCGGATCGACTGCTACTTCCGTTTCTTCAGGAAAGAGGTAAGTATTCGATTCTCACGGTGATATACACGATTATATGGGGTTTTACGGATGAGTTTGGTTGCATGTGACATTTGACTAGGTTTAGATTTTTCTTCCGCTGCATGAAACCTAGTAACCAAACCCTAGAACGATGAGATCGCATGCTAGGAACCCGTAGCGAAACCCAACAGTGGTATCAGAGCCTGGTTCTCTGTATATCGTCGTGCTTGTCCATGCCTATATGAATTTTAATGGTTAAAATTGCATGATAGGCTTGATCTATGCATATTTAATGATGTATAATTGTTATTTGATGCATGGATAACACTACAAGAAAACACGAAAAGGGTGACGCAAAAAGTGACGCAAAATTTGCGTCACTAAAAGGGTGACGCAAAAGTGACGATTTTGTGACAAAAAAAGTGACGCAAAAAATTCGTCACCAGAGCGTCACTAAATAGTGACGCTCTGGTGACGAAAACGCTAGCGTCACCAAATGGTGACGCAGTGATGACGCAAAATTGCGTCGCCAAATATGCGCGGAAATATCGTCACCCGTTCGTCACCCTTTCGTCACTATTTGGTGACGCAACTGCGTCATTATTTTATACTAACGCAATTTCGTCACAAAAAATTTGGTGACGAAATTGCGTCATTGAGAGTGACGAAATTGCGTCACTACTTTTTTTCTTTAGTGACGCAATTGCGTCACCATATTTATTTTAGTGACGAAATTGCGTCACTCTAATTCCTTTAACCCACACATCACCCTCATACACTCTTACACCCGAAAAAAAAATTCAAAAAATGGCATCGAGTAATAACAATATTTATTACTCAAGAAAATGGATGTACGAAAGAGTAAATCCTTCTATGGGTAATGTATCTACGCATTACGAAGAAGGATTGACTAATTTTTTGGAGTTTGCAACAAATCAACATATTTTTCTTCAGAGAGGAAAGATATATTGTCCGTGCCGAAGATGTAAAAACGAGAGGGAAGAAGTTCCAGAAGTTGTGATGAGACATCTATGGAAAAAAGGTTTTGTCTCTAACTATTACGTCTGGGTTTATCATGGTGAGACGTTTCAAATTTCTGATGAGAATATATCTGTGAGAAATACTGATGTCTATGATCAGCCAAATTCATATATTGAGATGATTCAAGATGCATTTCCATCTCAATATAATGATCAGGTTACAGAAGATCCGATGTGATGAGGTCATCGAGCTGGATATAGATGAGGAACCACCCAACATGGACAAAGGAGCACTCAAAACGGCTGAGGGAAATCTTACAACCGAAGGAGAGAAGAAGCACGAGCCTGCCTTCCCTACAATTCCTGATCCGCCACTCACACGAGAAAGGGCACGAAATCTACGTGCGAAGATCAACAAGTTCGTCATCAAGATGTTCGGAGACAATGCAAGGGCTGAAGAAAACTTGGATCTGGCTAAATCAAGAAACAACAAGAGTTTACTTGTGTTTGAACTCTTGTTGGTTACCACCTGATCTGAAGACACCAATTAAGGAAAGGAGAACACATCAGCAAGAGAAGGAGCCATTAGACACACTTAAGGCAACTTCTTGGACACATCATCACGCAAACTATGGCAAGCACAATCAGATTTGTGGGATTGATGACACATTTCTTGCCTTTCTTCTACTAGCCGTTGCTGCCAAATCACCAGGAGATCCCCTACCTTTCCTTATTATCATTTTCGCAATGCCTAGGTGGACTAGTTACCACAATTGTTGCCTAGGTGTTAATTATCTTTCCTTTCTAGTATTTCAGCACTTTTCCTATTTAAAGCCTATGTAATTTCGAATTAAGACACAACTTTTGATCAGAAATAATACTTGGTATTTTCTTTTAGTTTCTCTCTCGAATTCTCTTGTTCCATTAGCAAGAAATCGAGTTTCGTTCGTGTTGTTGACTGAGAGCGATTCTCTTTCAATTTACCGAGCATTTGTGACGATATCAAAGAGTCCATCCATCCCTCTTTGTGGTGTCACCAATCCACCAAGTGTAATCTGAGTGCTCATAAGCCTAGAACACTTCTCCACTATTTTCTCTTTAGAATCATTCGGTGAGAAGCTCCTAAGCCTACCGAATCTCCAACATATCCCAGGCCTTGATCCATTGAACCTCCGTGCGTGTATCATTTTTGGTATCAGAGCCCGGTTCAAGGCCACACGCAAGGTAACGCTGTTGATTCAATTTTATTCTTGTTATTTTGATTTTGTGAGTGTTGTGCAAGAAAAATGGCTGAGAACGCAGAGAACACTCAAACTGCGATCCTACAAGTCCTGCAACGCCTAGAGGAACGTTTAACGCATTTAGAGGAGGCACCACGAAGGATGCAACCTGTTAGGTTCAATATGCGCCCCAATAACGCAAATCCAGACCCGGATCCACCTGATACACAACAAAGACCGAGAAGAATGCAAAATCCAAGAGCTCCTCTTGAAGAGGATGAAGATTCTGATCATTCTACTCAGAACCGACGGAGGAGGAATGTTCAAAACCAAAGATATGTTGATGAAAGTGATGAGGAGGATGTACCTAGAAGGCAACTACGAGTTCAAAGACACCAAGGTACAGATTTGAAACTCAAACCTCCTACTTTTGCTGGAAAAGTTAATCCTGAAGCTTATCTCGATTGGGAGAGGCGGATGGAAAATATTTTCGATTGCTATACATATACCGAACAGAGGAAGGTTCAATACGCGGCGGCTCAACTCACGGACAATGCACTCACATGGTGGGACCGAGAAACAGCCGAAAGAAGACGTTCTCACTATGATCCAATAATCTCCTGGAGAGAAATGAAACATCTCATGAGAAAGAGGTATGTTCCACCACATTTCCATCGGGATTTACATAGACGATATCGTAAGTTGGCGCAGGGTAACAGATCGGTTGAAGACTACTTTGAGGAGTTTGAGCATCTTCAGAATCGATTAGAGATAGAAGAGGATGATGAGACTGTTATGGCTCAATTCCTAGACGGACTACAAGAACGCATCGCGAGAAAGGTAGAAAGACAAGTCTACCATGACATTCATGATCTTTTACATCTTTCTGTCCAAATAGAACAGCAAATACACAAGAAGCAAGCTAGGACAAACCGAATAAGAATGCCTAGCAATGTGTATCCGAGAACCGAGAGCAAAGGACACAACATGCCCACCTCAAAACCTGTCCAGGAGGATCCAAAGAGCAAAGGAAAGGGGATTGCAACATCCAAAGGCAAAACTTCTGTAAGTAACAAATCTAACACTCCGAGCCACGAGATTCTTTGTTACAAGTGCAGGGGTCGAGGACATTATGCTCGTGATTGTCCAAACAAGCGTGTAATGGAAATTATCGAGGCTGGAGATTATGATTCTTTGGATGAGGAAGAGGCTGAAAATCTGGAAGAAGAAGTTGAGTATCCGGACAGCGGGGAGCTACTTGTCACACGGCGAGTCTTGAGCACCATGACTACCCCAGAAGAAACCGCACAACGTGAAACCATTTTCCACAGCCGATGTACCGTGAAGAACAAGGTATGTGGGTTAATCATAGATAGTGGTTCCTGCACTAATGTTGCTAGTGTTTACATGGTGAAGAAGCTAGGGCTCGAAACGGAAAAGCATCCCCACCCTTATAAGCTACAGTGGCTGAACAACCAAGGAGAGCTTAAGGTGAATGAACGGGTGAAAATCTCGTTTAGCATTGGGAGATACCAAGATGAGGTAATGTGCGATGTGGTTCCTATGCAAGCTGGTCATATTCTCCTTGGAAGACCATGGCAATTCGACCGAGAGGTTAAGCATGATGGTAGGACAAATCACTACTCTTTCATGTTTAACAAGCGTAAGATCTCATTAGCACCTCTTAGCCCTTTACAAATACATGAAATGCAATTGAGGTTGTCTAAGGAAGTTGAGGATAGCAAGAAACCGAATTTCTATGTCAAACCGAGCATGGTAAGTAAAGCTTTGGTTGATGAACGAGCTGTACTACTCATGGTCTTTAAAGATGTTTTGAGTACAGGATTCGAAGAGAAAGAGCTTCCTTCCGAGATCACACGGATTCTAGAGCGGTTTAAGGATGTATTTCCGGAAGAAACTCCACCGGGGCTACCACCAACGAGAGGAATCGAGCATCAAATCAATTTGATCCCAGGAACACCTCTTCCAAACAGACCCGCGTATCGAATGAACCCCGAAGAGACCAAAGAGCTACAAAAACAGGTACAAGAGTTATTGGAAAAGGGTTATATTCGTGAAAGTTTGAGTCCATGTACAGTTCCCGTTTTACTCGTCCCAAAGAAAGATGGAACATGGAGGATGTGCGTGGATTGTCGAGCTATCAACAATATCACAGTCAAATACCGACATCCTATCCCGCGTTTGGACGACATGTTGGACGAGCTTAGTGGAGCCACTATCTTCTCAAAGGTAGATCTAAAAAGCGGTTATCACCAAGTCAGAATGCGCAAAGGTAACGAATGGAAAACCGCATTCAAAACGAAGCATGGGCTGTACGAGTGGTTAGTCATGCCCTTCGCTTAACCAACGCACCAAGTACATTCATGAGGCTCATGAATCATGTCCTACGAGCCTTCATTGGTGAATTCGTTGTGGTTTATTTCGATGATATTCTGATTTATAGTAAATGTCTTGTCGATCATGTGACACATCTTGAGCTAGTCATGGAGACTCTTCGAAGAGAGAAACTCTATGCTAATCTCAAGAAGTGCACATTCTGCACTAATGAGGTTGTCTTTTTAGGATTTATTGTGAGTTCGCAGGGGTTAAGTGTGGATGAAGAAAAGATCAAAGCAATCCGAGATTGGCCAACCCCTACAACCGTCGGACATGTGCGAAGCTTCCATGGCTTGGCGAGCTTCTACCGTCGGTTTGTTCGTGACTTTAGCAGCCTTGCAGCCCCTCTCACGTCCATTATAAAAAAAGATAAGCCATTCGAGTGGGGAGAAGCACAAGAGAAGGCATTCAACACATTAAAGGAGCAACTCACGAGAGCACCCGTCTTAGTCCTTCCCGACTTTGACAAGGTATTTGAAATTGAATGTGATGCATCCGGTGTGGGTATTGGAGCTGTTTTGATGCAGGAGAAACGACCCGTGGCCTACTTTAGCGAAAAGCTAAATGGAGCAACACTCAACTATCCAACATATGACAAGGAACTATATTCTTTGGTGCGAGCATTACAAACGTGGCAACACTACCTATTGGCGAAGGAGTTCATCATACATACTGATCACGAGACTCTCAAGCATCTCAAAGGACAAACTTCACTCAAGAAGAGGCATGCAAGGTGGATGGAGTTCATTGAGACATTTCCCTACGTAATCAAGTACAAGAAAGGCAAAGATAATGTGGTGCGGCGGATGCACTATCAAGGAGACATACACTCATCACCACCATGGAGGCAAGGATGCTCGGCTTTGAGCATATCAAAGGCCTGTACCGCGATGATCCGGAGCTCGGGGATATCTATGAGGAGTGCAACAAGGGAGCGTACGGATCATTCTACAAGGAAGACGACTACCTATTCCGAGAAAAGCGGCTGTGCATTCCACAATGCTCAATGAGGGATCTCATTCTTCAAGAAGCGCATGGAGGAGCACTCATGGGACACTTTGGCGTGGATAAGACGCTCGCTGTAGTGAAGGAGCACTTCTTCTGGCCGCGTCTCAAACGGGATGTCGAACGACATTGTGCTTGATGTGTTCAATGCCATCAAGCCAAGTCTAAGACACACCCGCACGGTTTGTATCTTCCCTTACCTATTCCTACTTATCCTTGGACTGACATTTCTATGGACTTTGTTCTTGGACTTCCAAAAATCCGGAACAAAGATTCCATCTTTGTTGTTGTTGACAGGTTTTCAAAGATGGTGCATTTCATTCCTTGTGCAAAGACAAACGATACCTCTTACATAGCTGATCTGTTCTTTAAGGAGATCGTGAGGATTCATGGGCTGCCTAAGACCATCGTTTCTGACCGAGACACGAAGTTCATGAGTTACTTTTGGAAGACATTGTGGAGAAAACTCGGAACCAAGCTTTTGTTCTCTACAACCTGTCATCCTCAAACCGATGGGCAAACGGAGGTTGTCAACCGCACTTTGGGGACGTTGTTACGAGCAGCTATAGGGAGAAACTTGAAGAATTGGCTGGACTCCCTTCCCCATGTCGAGTTTGCATACAACCGAGCTATCCATTCGGCAACAAAGCATTCACCCTTTGAGGTTGTCTACGGATTCAACCCCATCACTCCGCTGGATCTCTCGCCCATCCCAAGCAAGGAAATGGTCAGCCTTGATGGGCAGCAAAAGGCCGAGAGTGTGATGAAGTTGCATGCAAAAGTCCGGGAGAATATTGCAAGGAGAACGGAACAATATGCACGACAAGCAAACAAGGGGCGAAAGAAGATCACTTTCAATGAGGGAGATTGGGTGTGGCTACATCTAAGGCCGGAGTGCTTTCCAAACAAGAGAACATCCAAGCTAGCACCAAGAGGAGATGGCCCATTCCGTGTGATTGAGAAGATCAACGACAATGCCTACCGTTTGGAGCTTCCCGGTGAGTATAACGTATCTTCTACTTTCAATATAGCTGACTTGCTTCCTTTTGATGCAGGAGATTCTGTTTTGAGGTCAAAACCTTCCCAAGGGGGAGGAGATGATGAGGTCATCCACTTAGATGAGCTAAACGAGGATCAAGCGGAGCAAGGAAACCATGGAACGCACAAAGGAGCTGAGGAGCACAAAGGAGCCAAGGAGGAGGACAAGCAAGGAGAGACAACCAATGAACCAGTCTTTCCGATCATTCCCGATCCACCACTCACAAGGGAACGAGCAAGGAGCCTGCGTTCAAGAATCAACAAGTTCGTGGCCAAGACCCTTGAAGACAATCCAAGAACCGAAGAAGCTTGCGGATTAAGCAACAAGAGCCTGCTCGTTTTTGAGCTCTTGTTGTCCAACACCTGATTCATCATCATTCGTTGTGGAACACCTGAACAACCACGACCCTACCTGAATTTTGTTGCCACAACAAGCTCTTGAAGTCAAGAAGTCTGATCCCAATCCCTCATAACCGTTAGAGAATCCTGGAGCATCATTCATGGGAGCTTTGGCTAGATTTCTGCAGAATTGAAGACTTACCATAGCTGAATTGGAGATTGATTTCTTGCCATATTCATCACTAGCCGTTACAAGGAGATTGCTGCAGAATTCTTGTTTCCTTTTATGTATTTTCGCCATCTTTCTTTTCCTTTTCTTGTTGCACGAAATTTCCCTCTTTTCCTTTCACTTGTTAGCCTATTTAAAGGCTGCATCTATGTCATTTTTCAGCAGACTTTTCAGAAATAAAAATTGGAGCATTTGTTCTTCTTATTCTCGTGTTGTCTTGAGCAAATACAAG